CCCTAAACCCTAAAATCTGTGATATCTCTGAGAGGCCTCTTACCAAGCGCAACCCTGCTCTGGGCCTGCGATGGTTGAGACTTAGCTTAGGGATCTTCTTCAGTATCACTGCTTAGATCAAACATATCATCATCTAGCCTCTCAGTCTTCTTTTTTCCTTCACTGCTTGTATCTCCTGCGCCGTAAGATACTCCTCTATGAAAGTAAGCTGCTCATTTTTCAATGTCAAACCTTGTTGTACATAAATACATCATAAGATCTTGGATAGTTGTCGATTTGAGAGACCCACGGCGGTAATGACAGATATCACGATCAGTGTTGAACAGTCGTTCAACGCCAGAACCACTGGCAGGAACAGAAAGGACATTATCTGGCCGACTACTGCGGTAGGTGAAACAGATCAGTCGCTGCCATACCTGCTGGTACCGGGTGTATGTGGATGGTTTTAGATCCACTTGGATCGGCCGTCCCCAAACACGCGGACGGGAGACAAGGCTGTTGATTCGGATTTGGTCAAACTCATTAATCCGCCGGTCCTGGATCGTGTGGTATACACTCTTGATCAACCGCTCCGCACTCTGCGCGAATGCGGCAAGTAGTGGCTCTCCGGAAGGGTCAGGAAGCATGCCTAGAGCTGCTACTTCCGAAAAGCTATAGCCTCGAAGGTATTCCGGCCACTGTGTGAGGTCTAACTATAGCGACACCTCAGTAGCATGCCTCTGGCTGGTGATCTGTTGCCCTTGTTCTGCCTCGTGCGCCAACCTTTCCTCGATATCCCGGTTCACCTGGGCCTGAATGAACTCGGCCTCAGACATTGTACCAGCTAGCCGTTGTTGCCTGATTGGAGACGGTGGGATCACAATGAAAAAGCTGCTCTCTGGACCATATACAAAGAATCGCTGACAGCTCACTGATTCTGCAGTGGCAGCAATATCAGGCTTGGCTTTGAAAGCACGGCCACGCGGTCGTCGGGTCTCCGGATGTATGCGTTCCAGATGCTTGCGCAGTGTCGCTAACGATCGCGACACATAGGAGCAGATCCATATCTGGTATGTGGCGTTGTATATAAAGAGATCCATCTCGAGATACTGAACGGGCATCGGTCCGGTGCTATAAAAGAGAAATACAAGAAGCGAAGCGGACGCGACCGCAGTCGCAGACACAGTCACGGACGCGTCGTTCTACACTGCGCCGCCACTATTCCTATACAGGCTGTGAAAAGAAGCAATTATGTATGATATGATATGAATCGAGGATATACCTTCCTTACGGGCACGCACCCTAAGTAGACGGGAGCACGGCAGAGGCAGGACTGCTCGACCAATCAGGCGACGAGTAATTCGAGCGAGGGCTGACTCGTTCATGTATTAGGGTATAGGGTCAAAAATTAGGTGTGGGTCTAAATAAGAAAGGTGGGCCCTTCCGGTCGCACCCCATCAAAAAATATTTAGAGTTTAGGCAATTGAGGTGGAGTTCATGAATTAAAATACAAACTAATACAATTTCAGCGATTTCATCTGGGGGTAAACATAATCCCCCGAATTAGAGCATTTGCCTGAAATCTTCCAATTTTTATGAGAAGACGCTGGTTTCTCACCAGTTTATGCTTCTCCAGTAGGTATATTGCAAGAGTAGTAGACTATTTTTAAGCTAAAAGCTCTTCCCAACATTTTGCAGCCTCCGAATTATTGGCGCTTCCATGTGTAGTTATTAGTCCCTCAGTTCCCCTCTTTCTTGCCATTCGTGTTAACGCCTTTGTTAGCTTTGATATCTCTTCAAAATGCAACGGCTCCGTCTGATTTGATTGATGTCAACTGTCCACGCTTCAGATAAAGTTCCAAGTATCGATGACAAAAGTCTCTCCTTCTTCTAATAGTTCCTTGAAAGCCTCGTTGTCACCAATCTGCCCAAGAACAGATACAAGATAACGTGCTGCTAAACTTCTCAAAACATCTGGTTGATTATTATAACTTGGTGGCATGTTTGAGTAAACGAAGCGAACAAATTCAATAACTCCAGCGACCCCTGTATGATATAGCCTCAGGCTACCCAGACTAGCTTCGCCGCTACTAGTCTCACGCCGTTTGACCCGGAGCGTGTGCTATCGAAGCTAAATATCTCGCTCTACACGCCAACACCGCCAGCAAGCCGACCAAGCAGCAGATCTAGCCAATTTACACCAAAAACCCCTAAAACAGTGATTCAGCTACAGAAGCAGGCTAAATTACTCAAAGAGCTATTAAAGCAGCAGTCAAATAGCCCTCCGTCACCTTCCAAGACTGCTGTGGATCAGATTGTTAAAGGTGCCTATTTATCGATGCACAGCGCTGCGATATTAGCGCAGGAGAACGCCAGCCTACGCCGCGCGAATGAGAAGAAACGCCAGAAACGCACACGGTCAAATCACCAGATAGCACACCAAGGTGGCGTAACTATCGCAGAGGGCCTACAGTTAGCGCAGCAGCCAGAGCAGCCAGTAGAAGAGACCCAGGTAGTATCGAATGAGGCAGGCGATCAGCTAGTCAGGTAGATTTACCACGCAAAAGGGCTCCGCCAAGATGTAGCGGGTGTGGGGAGACAGGCCATAGGATTAACCGATGCAATAAGTGTAATTTGAGATGAATTAATATTGTTTTTGGTAGAATTATCCTGACGGAAAAATTCTTAATGGGGGTGGGTGACGCGGTTGGCCGGGAACTCCGTTATTAAAAACTACGTTATTAAAAACTACGTTATTAAAATCTGTTGTGTCCCTCCCCACCAATTCCGTTCAAGAATGGCTAACTTCAACGCATTTTATTATAAGTACCAAGCAACTAATCAAAATTCTGGTTAAATAATCAAGATATTCAGGTCTGATTGTACTGGAATTCAAACGATTAGCCTCGCTGGATGGTGTAGTTCTGCAAGGTCGGGTCGGCTTCTCCCTGGTCGTTCTGCGACCCCTGGGTCGACCCCTAGGTTGGTCTGGTTCTAGTCTTGAATTGCTTGTTAGATTGATCCTTTATCGGCTTAGCTCAAAAGTACGGCGGTGCGTAGCGGCCATTCTCCAGTGCATAATTATTAAGCAAGATTTACTGGCAGAATTTACGACCAAGTCACGTTTCTCCACAATTAAACTATGTACTTTCGAAGTAGCCACATAATCTCTCATAAGGGCTTATCAAATTCACGTTTACAATAATCTATCTAACTCATAAGGGCTTAGTTATGAGGCAGAATTAAGGCTAGCTTAGGAGGGGGAAGGGGGTGGAAAAGGGAAGAAATAATCCTTAACGGAGGTAGAGGAGGCCAAGTATTAAGGAGAGAGAATGATCACATGACTAAGATTCAGGGATTTTCACGTGATTTTGCCTAAAAGGTAAGGTATCAGTAGAAGGGCGGACCCAGAGGCGGTCAATCATATACATGATTTAGCACCAGTCTTGCTTAATAATTATGCACTGGAGAATGGCCGCTACGCACCGCCGTATCAAAAGTCTAACCAGATAGGCGATTAAGCGCATTGCAGGTCTTATTTCTCTTTGCGCATATTGCAGGCGCTGAAACTTTATATTAGCTCACCATTAGAAACCGTGGAGAAAATCTAGAATCTAGAATCAGTAGTACTTTGGAATCATGTGATGTGGTCGGTTATTACCCGCAAACGGCGACTGCCCATCCGGTCGCGGCCTAGAGCATGGAACCATGGCACTTTGGAAGGATATCATCACAACAGGTGCAGATATCCATTGCAATAGTATACGCTGTTAATAATCCTAGCAATCCGACTTCTATTTTCGTTTCTTAATTTACAGAAAACAATCAACGGATGTCAATGCAAATAGCATTAAGAGAGTACCTGTGGATCTCTAACACTGTCAAGTGGATGCGAATATACTTTGATGTTCTGTGATTGATTTAATTTTTTCTGGGTCACCTGCTGATATGAAAGTCTAGATTAGCTTTAGGCTTTTGCCTCGCTCATCCTTTCAGAATTGAATTTATCCACAACCGTCGTCAATACGTAACAATATAGTCATTTACCGTTGGTGACAGTGGGCAAGTGATCACAACAAGTGGAAACATATTGCATATCGTGCTAAGCAGGTGTAGTGGTAAAATCTTCGTCTCTCAGATTTAGGCCTAGATTGCGACCCGTAAGTTCCTGTCTTACTCTGTACCATGGCCAAACTACGTGTCACTCTAGATTCATACAGTCACGTCACTCCCACAACGGGCGGTTTAGAGTTACATGAGAATGGTCTCACCCCATTTTATGTACATGATGCGAGTGTGATTATTTTCGACTCTTAGGACGTTGGTCCACCGGATCTTATAAATACAACCCAAAAAGTTCGCTTTAAAGTAGGTATTTTTTCACCTAAAAGTCACTGGCGACAACGCAATTCACTGCTCTGGCTCAACTTCCTGAAAATTGGTGTGGCACACCTTATCCAGGCTCAATCATGTCCTCAGATGCTCCAGCTCCAAGTACCCGGGAGGCTCTTCTCCAGTCGACCGCACAACATCTTGGAGCCGAAGCTCTGACAACTGTCGAGGAGTCCAGTATTTCGGAACCAGTGTCTACTGACACAGCTCCTTTCCCATTGTCTCCTGTGTGTATCACGCAAGAATCAGTTCCCCGGAACCTGAAGTCTGACCCAGCCGCCATCATGGTTGGATTGGAATTTGAAATCCCACGCTGGGAGCCTGGTTCAGTGGTTAAATGGACTGCATGGCAAAGGGGATACGATTCTCCAGCAGATGCGACGCACGCTGCAGCACACCTTAAGCAGGCTGCTGAAGCATGGAACAAAGCCGACGTTGGGGTAAATTTTGAATTTGTCCCCTTGGCGAAAGACGCAAACTTTGTGCTCACCCATGGTGGTGATAAGGGACGTGTTCTTGCTAGTTCCTACTTCCCAAATCGCAAAGGCCTTAACTTCGTCTATGTTTATAGCCTTGCATTTCGACCAGATTTTAGAAACGGTCTTTGGAGGATTTTTACGCATGAATTGGGACATGTCTTGGGACTCAGACATGAGTTTGCTATGGACCCCAACCCTGAGCGTTTTGAAGGCAATGCGGTACAAATTGGCGAGGCAAATTCACTTTCGGTAATGAACTATCGCGAAGAGCTACCAGAACTTCAACGGTCGGACATTGATGCTACGCAGCAATTTTATCGACTGCCGGTAGGTACTACTTTATCAACGACCCCTATTGTGGATTACGTACCTCAGTGACCACGGCAAATTTCAAGTTATTTGCGCCAAGCTTGAGTAATATACAGGTTGTACGTCTTGATGCTGAGCTTTTGTGCGCTCTGTTCTGTTGTGTCCTTTCTGGCTTAAAACTGATCGAAATTTCTCTATGTACGTGTGTACCTTTCTCTAGGTTGGGCCTTAAAAAAGCGAAAAAGCAAAGTTGTAGGTATTTTACTGTTATTTGTATCGTTAAATCAGAATAGGAAAAGATACTCAAGTTTCTACTCAACAGGGTTCCTTATTAGATGAATTCTCGTGGCCATAGAACTTCCGATAGGAAAGTTCGAGAGTACTTAGTTTTGGTTCGCTTACGACCTCATTGACGTTCTCAATAGCATATGAATGGATGGGCTGCAAATGGATTGGGATTCGTAGGAACTACTTAATGATACGTTACGACGGCGCAACACATGGCGAACGTAGAATTGATGAGTCAATTCTGGTGACCTTCCAACTACGTAGGGGCTCAGCGGTTGCAGTCATAGTTTCGGGGCTTCTTTTTCTTAGATAGTCTTGTTTTTAAATCAACCACGCCCGCAACCGTCGTTACACTCCAGACATTTAATGACCGGTATCAATCCGGTAATAGCGTTAATTTATTCTATACCGAACTTCTGCGTATAATCTGGGGAATGTGTGAGTAGTTACAGGACGTCAAAGTCTACTCTTGGTTCCTACCTTGTGAGGGAAATGAAGAACACTAGCTAACTTTCACCACACCACTTTGATTGAACATACTGATCCCTATCTGCATCCTCGCTGTCACACATTGACCTTCTGGATAATGTAGACCCTATTAATGCTCCGCTCTTATTATAGAAATAGTACTGAAAGCATTTGTCAACACCGCGATAATTCTCAATCACGAGTGTTAATCTGATGGTTTCTGTAGTAGATTCGTATGTCTGGTTGGTGCCTCCAATTAAAGAAGATCTGCTACAGTCGTCGCGTATTGTTCACTCCGTACACCTCACCGTCCATGAAGAAATATTGGAAGGCACGATGGAAATGGGTACACTGGGCCAGTGGTCTCCCAGAGAAGCCATTCCGCCCTGGGTTGTGTCTCGAATGAGTACCGCTCTGCTGCAAATGTGGCGGGTTGATAGCGTGACCTGTTGCAGGTAAATTTAATTTTGCAGTCTTGGCCCGTGGAAAATTTTATCCGCAAGCGGCAAAATGGCTGGTCTTCCCGGCGGCGAACACTATCTCCAGGCTTTGGATGGTCTAGATTTTCGTTTGCTTAACCCAACCCTTTAAGTCCTTCTACATGACTATCCTAAGAAATTTTATATGACATTTAGATAGATCCACCTATTAGATAAAAAGATCCAAAAGCTTCGTTGAACTAATCAAGGGTTTCGGGTACTAGAGGGGGATTGTGTTGAATCGGAGTATGTTAGGCCTTCATATTCACTTAATTAACGATGATTCTCAACTCGGGATCGTCGAACCTATGAAAGTCAACACAGCCACCACGGAGGAGTATCGGGTCTAGTGAGGTTGAGATAAGTCAAGAGCCTACCTAAGCCGAGAAAAATTTGAATTTGTCACGTTCATTTTACGAATATATGCTAGCTCTTTTCAAAAGCCGACCCATCCCGAATCTATGACGACAGGTGATGAATAATCTCACTCCGCTTTGCAGCGTACGGCAAAAATTAATACCTACCTGTGTTTCTCTATTAGTCTCTATGTACAATACATCTTCTTTCTACGAGTGTCTCAGTCACTGAACAGATTTCTGAAAACCATCTTAACTCGGCCTCAAGCACGAATGATGGAGAGTATCAAATATGAGGTCGAAGTTCATGGAAACGCGGTCCAGCCCCAACACTCTGATGTTGTGAACATTACGCGTCTTAATGACCGCGCAAAAATTAATTCTGGTTCGAAAACTTCGTCCCTTCTCTTTTTTCCAATCCCCACACCTTGTATCGTCGACGGCCAACGCCTTCAAGCTGGCAAGATGTGGCTTTTTTACAGGGTAGACAAAAAATCGTCGATCTACCTGATAAGTGTGTATGATGGGAAGGAGCGTTTGTTTGAGCGATTTGTCGACTTGACAGCAGCAGTGGACGAAGAGATTTCTTTTGAATTTCCGAAGAAATTGCCGGTTAGTTGGGGATTGAATGTTTGTATTGGGATGGGAGGCCCGGGATTTCCTGGTGTCGATATTCTTTCTGTGGGTATAGCATTTTATGAAAGTGGCTGATTTCCTGGGCCCTACTAATAATATAGTTGTTGATCTATCTCCATCCCCTTCTATATTGCTGAAATTGCCTGCGCTTTTGTAATTTTGGCTTAGTACGTATTAGCTCTCGCTATTTCACCTGTTCTCTAGTAGCAAGAGGGACGCGCCCGCATCCCAGTATCTCCGCCCCTGATTATCTATAATTGGGGGGAATGTTTCCATCTGTACGCGTTATCTGTACGCGATACCCACTGAAGGCATACAAACAAGTAATCAGTTCTTGAAAAATGGTCAGATCCCAAAGGACCGGCGAATATGGTCTGTACGAAGTGCTGTGCTGAACATCATTGTGCACAGATCCAAACTCTCAGTCATATCTCGCTCACTCCAAACGCTTCTTTCGGGGGTTGCAAAGCGGTTCTGTGGTCTATTCTCAAATGTGAAGAATGGAATAATTGTTCATGCTGGCTATGTCACTGACTTAGGAATGAAGCGCGCCTCCGGAATCCTATCAATGACTTACATGAGTGGAAAGCAACGTAAGGTAGCAAAATGGTGCTGTGACATGGTAACATAGTGTCCTGGCATACCTAACAGCAGTCGAAGCGACCTTTATACAGGGTTTGTATGTTTAAATATCGATTACAATAAAAGATGTTATGCTAAACATGACCGTTTCTTCTTGATTCACTGCGAATATGAGGCAGTTAGATGTTAGTGGCGCGTTCTATCGTGACCAGACGCTAGGTGCGAAACATTTGCCCTTTTCGGAGCAACCCAGCGTTAATCAAGACTAGCAAATCTTCGCTTTCTATTCAACAATACGGTCGACATCCTGACCTGCGAAAGGCGTTCTGGCTACGTGGTCGCATTTGCCTGCAAATCGGAAAATGGAGAGTAGATCAAAATCATGCAAACATACGCTGGGGATGTACTGAACGCACTCAAGTCTTTACATATCATATCAAGCACTCGTATTATGGAATATCTTGCTGATTGTGGCCATGAAGTACGTTACGACTACTTTCCCAGAGTGCCATATATCCCTCCCGATGCAAGTTCAATGTGCACTGGAATTGAAGAGTCCTGCGCCATCAGGCATTGACAGCGCACCGATCTACATACCTTTCCCGGAGCAAGACCCTGGGGAGGAAGACCTTGAATCACTTGGAGCGCAGGACAGTCCTACCGTTGTTCTAAAAGGTATTCGGAAAAATATCTTCGGTTAGAATTCACCATAATCATGATACTAACTCAACTATAAGAAGCAACCATGATCATTACTCTCTCGGAACAGAGTGCTGCACTACCTACAGGTGGCTGTGAGGGTTCACAGCCCGATTTGACGCCTTCGACCTCAGTTCCTTCCCACGCCGGTGCGAAGGGCTACTCAGTACTCGTGGATATTCAGTATCCGTTCAAGAAACGTATAGGCGCTCTGACATTTATAGCAACCCCCAGTCGCCAAGATCTTGGACAAGTTGTGGCGCAAATTTTGGCTATCAATGATCCTCCAAATAACTCAAGCGGGTTCATAGAATCATTGAGTGTTCGGAAGGGGAACACTTCATACGATGTTTTTGGGCTACGCACAGGATGACATTGGAAGCTTACTGGAGGATGTTCTTGAGTCAAAAGCTCATCAAGATTGAGTATGTATGCAGCATCTAACTGATATGGTTCTATTTCGGATATAGAATTGAAGTCGATGCTTTTGATTTCTATTTTTCTATTTCTACTTTGCAACCAAGAGTGACAATCCGTGCCCCTGTTTGCTTGGATGGAAATAGTAAAAGTTTAGGCCAGGGCCAAGTTCTCGCGTTATTCCAGAGCCTTTTGAAGAAACGGACAATAATTACCAAATAATGGCTCAGACAAATTTACGCACCAGTTGCGCCGACTCAAAGAATTATGTTGATCCCCCGCAGCTCACTCTCTCCCGGAAGAATCGCTATTACAACCCGCATCAAGATTGACAGGGGCACATAGCGTCACTTTGTATCTCGTCCGTATTCTTTTAATCGGGAGCCTGTGTGCCTCGTCTGCTTTTGCTACAGAGACACCAGGACAGCCTCCATGCTGTCTTAAGATCAGCATGAGAAGTGATCCTTTTTGGCGTGGTTTGGCTGGAATATAGGTGCGTCCGAAGGTATTGGTCTAGACCAGCCCGTTGGCTTCAACGGGCTTTTGGAATCTGATGATTCTTTCGGGAAATGACCCCTCGCCTGCACACCCTCGGTTGGTATTGCGTACTGACACAAGGTGCATACTGTTACATATTCTCCCCACTCCAGACACAAGGGGGGCGAAGGCCATTCGTGCGTGGAAACTGGGTAAGCATGTGGCGCTGGATTCGTCATTCAGAGGGGAAGGGGTCAGAATCAAGTTGGAGAATAATCATAGAACGAAAGTGACAACAGTGAAATAGGTGAAGGCGGTTAGACCTTGGACTCCCCTATGTATTTGTTGGTACGCGTCGCGTCGCGTGTGCCAAATGAGGTAAAAATGTATTGCGTATTTTTTTCGATACTTCTCATAGTAATAGCCATAGATGACCGTGATTGACACCAGTTCTAATGGAAGGACTATCCGAAAAGCTACAGGTGTGTGATGGGAATAGTCTGTTCTGTTTTCAGGTATACGGGATGCATGTTTAATTAATAATGATGGAAATCTAACATGAGTTAGGGAGAGTAGTACATTTACCGGGCGGAAAGCATGGTGGAGGAGATATGGCCTGTAATGGCGGGACAGGTCGCTGAAGCTCACCGAAGTCATAACTATGGGGCGCACGGACAAAAAGTGTGAACTGGGTGACACTTCTGAAGAGACTAGTACAGTAGTATGCTGCATGGTTTCTTCACAGCGGTCAAGCACGAGGTCGACGGCCGCGACCAAACGGTAAATATGGTCTTCATCTGTAGGCGGGCTCACGAGCTCCCGGCCTTGGTAAGAAGCAATTTGAGTCCCTGCTTGGCGCCAGAAACAGATGGAAGGAGCATCATCCGCTTGAGGATATCCCGGGGGATTCCTTGGTACATTCTTATCCATCCTGTACGTTCCAGCCACGGTGGGGTTCCTTCATAAGTGTCTGTGCCTGTGTAGGCAAGGGCGTTTCTCTGCTGGTCGATGGTCTGAAATCGCCTCTCCCGCTGTCAAAGATCATGCACAAACGATATGTTTCCGGTCGGTGGCGATCCGGATAGAAAACTTCTCTCATTACCGTCCGGGCCATCACCGCGATCAGAGATTACAACCCAGTATGACTGGGTTGCTGTAGACCGGGTCCACGTTTGCAAAGAGACTGTCGCGTATAGCAGTTCAATATTTGGTCGTGGAGAAGGCCACTCAAGAACGTGCATTTTCATCACATGATGTCCCATAAAGTCAAGGCTTGTGCTAAGGAAGGGGCATTGCCGGTATTGGAACCCAGTAAGTGTCGTAAGGGCAGAATGACACGGGGATCCATTCGGTCGACGTTCCGCTAAGCTACCGCTTTTGAAATGGTGCCGATGAAGGTATTGATCGAGTCCTTGCCGTTGTCTTAGAGGAATCCCATGTTTCCTTCGAAAGTGAATGCTTCCCTGGGAGCCTTCCGTAGATATAGCGTATCGGCAAATTGTGCATATTGCGACATGTTCACCCCAGTCTAAATATAGGGGAAGGCAAGGCCATTCTGGGGAAGATACTGGATAGCCCGGTGACATTGGACAACAAGATCAGCTTGGCAGGTTGATCTCGCCTATTGTGGAGTAAATTGATATCGTCTCGAAGAACATTGAGGATTGCGCGACAACATTTAATTTCTCTTGGAAACGCGTACGTCGCGTTTGGGACCGCGCTTTGCTTTTTCGGTGACGCCTCTAACGTGACATGGCATAACGAGTGCCGGTGAATATCGCGCTATGATTGGCCAAACTGCACAGACAATAGGCAATACGCGTGTAATGGCGGACCAGGTCTTTGCAGTCTACCCAACGCTTCACTATGGGGTGCACGGACGAAAAGCGTGGAATGGTCGACCATTCCCGAGGGAATATGACAGTAGAGTTTCCCTTAAATCAATCAATCACTAGTTTACCTGATGGTTCCGGTAGCTCTCATTCGTCCAAATGCATACTAGCCCACCGATTCAGCTCGCTTTGACAGCATTTTATACTGAGAAATATCTTCGGTTGTCCCCGTCTTCTCTATCTTCTCAGATCACTGACCCTTCACAGCTATATCTAACTGACTGGACCGGCAAAAATAATTCATATTACCTAGTAATCTACAGAACGCTCCACATGTGCTTAAGCAGCCGTGAACTCTGGCCTTATTTCATCGCCAAGACCAGACCCGATTCATGGTTCCTCCCGAGTACAACCAATTCCGACAGAAGTCGCAGTTAATTATATTGCTTTCCAAGTTGATAACTCAACGATTAAAGATGCCTCCAACTCCATCTTTGATGCGTCTACTCTCTAACTGGCAATCTTTATCCATCGCATGCTTCTCTCGAATCGCGGGGAACCATCATGTGCCAAGGCTGCAATGCGAATAGCAATGCGCTTTCCGCGTGACATAATGCAGGGCGGCAGCGCATAGCCGTCAGCGCATATAGTTGCGATCGCAGTGACCCATTCGCGATTACCAGGCTGTAGAATAGATCGCCGACTGTAGTATTCTGCTCGTGTCACCACCTTCTGCGATGATATAAGGCCCATCGCAAAGCCTGTCTCATCAAAGTTGTAGATATCCTTTACTTAAATCCTATTCTCCTCGATTGCACATTGCACCATCCAAAGCCACTCTTTTATAGCCTTTAGATCCTCATTAAGAGCGCGCTAATCATCATATCGTCTAGAAAAGCAGGTACGAAGCTCATCGCGCCGTTGAACGAAGGCAGATAGCCAATTTTTGCCAACAGTAGCCGGTGGGTTCTCACCACACGCAGCCGGTAGAATATTAGCCATATCTAGAATATTAGCCATCTCGCGCACGATAGAGGGCCCAGGGCCTGCACCACGCGAATCCATAAATAAAATCTACCCGGCTAGCGATACCTCTTCTAACCGGGTCAATTTATGACGATGCGATCGTGTATCGACGCGTAGGGCTACTCCGGAAGAGCGCGTATGCAGGGTAGCGTAGGGAATATCATATAGCTTCGTCGCTGCATGTAAAGATTTGATTCGACCTTCTTTGATATCTTAAAGGGCTAATTAAATCTTGCCCTCCTGATTAGCCGATTATAGCCAGGATTCAGAGCGAATTCGAGGCATGGTTAGTGGTTAAAGTTAGTGTGTTAGCAGGAAGACGCGAATTTGGTGGGGTTATCAGGTTAACCGCGAACTACGTCAGGGGTATTTTAATTTCTTGGTCAGCCGCTGAGGGATCCTTTCCTTCTAACCCAATTGCATACTATTGAGGATCGAGTCTAGTTTGAGATATATATGCGTTTGTCAATGTTAATCATCTCGTAGCTCATGCCTTCGTAGCGATAATGATTCCCTCGCCGCTACCTGGAGGCTGGTGGAAGGAGAGATCTTTCAAGCCAACGGACGTCAGCAGAGCACGCCATTGCTTCTCCGTTCGCTCGAAGGCGCCGACCTGGACCATCATCATGATGCTAATACAAGCGGTGGCGAAATCACAATCTCTGTCAGGGATGATTTGGTCGTTGATGATCAGACGAGAGTAACCTGGCTCCATGGCGGCCACGATAGTGCTGAGGATATCGCGGGCTTGTTTGTCGCGCCAGTCGTGAAGAATCCAGTGCATATAATATGCGCGAGCTCCTATGCCAGTGATCAGCGTCTCATATGATAATACTAAATAAGTAAAGGAGTCCAACAGCTATGAACCTACCTTTTACGGGCTGAGGAGTGAAGAAATCATAAGCCATCAGCTCAGTACCCGTTGGAGCGGCCTTCGGATCGGAGACCACCTGGGGCAAGTCCTGCAGGATACGACGACCTGGCGCATCCGGGAACCTGTCATTGAACGCATGGAGGTAGTGGCCTTCACCGCCGCCTATGTCAACAAGCAAGACGTCGTTAGGGTGAGTTCGTACCCCGTCGAGGATGGTGCCATGCACATCAAACCAATCCACCCAGTTCGGGGTCGAGCGCTGCTTTAGTGCCATCCATTGCTGGAAGTCTTTTGCTAGAGAAGGGTTTTGGCCCAACCAATGGAAGTAGTTGAGGTCAGTGTTTTTGGCCAGTTGGAAGGGCGTATCTTCCGCGGAAGGTGGGAATTGATTGTTGTTCTTCCGGAAATATTCCGGAGCATAGGTGGTGCAAAAGTTGCCTATGTCAAAGCTGATATGTGTTAGACAGGGCGAGGGCTAGACATGCTTGCATTTTATTTGGGTAGGGGGTGGTGGGGGGAGATGCACATACCATGCTCTGGTGGTGGCTTCCAGAGTCGGGTCTGCCATCACCATGGTGAGAGGAGACGGTTGGTATGTCTGGACGGCGGTCTCCAGCACATACCCGGAGGCGGAGAGCAGCCTCAAGATCTGGTCTAAGCGCATACATATGATCAGCCGCACGGACATGCCGGGTCCATGATTCAGGATAGTGGATCGGCGTCTCTCATGCTTGAGCTTTGGACCTGCTGGGATCAACATCGTCGGAGTGGAACCGTCCACGCTTGTCGATCCCCACTAAGATCTGTGCTGAGATGGGCGCAACAAGGCATCAATTGAACCAACCTACCGACAACCAAAACACTCGCTCCGGATTTTTCCGCAATTTCTTCTGTGGTGGTTCCTTTGCCCTGGCCGTCGCGGATGGCCTGGAAGGCTCCCAGTTGGACGCCCATACGGAGGGCCATCAGCAGTCCCGGGGTCTGTTGTGGAAACGATCAGCATTGTTCTGCGCCGCTTTGCATCTTGTTCGTCTCCAGCGGACTGCCTATTGCATGGTCATATGAAATGACGGGTTGGTGATTGCTACATACCAACACCACATCCTGGATCACCTTTTCCGGCGGCGACCCAAGAGCCTCAACCAGGCCTCGCGCAGCCTTCAGCGCGCTGAACCGCGTCGCATCATCTAGCGACTCTCGGTTTGCCCGAACAGACTGCGTGAGTGCGGCGATCTTGCTCTCAAGAGCGTCGTCATGGGGAGGAATCATGATGGAATGGCAAAGTCAAAGAGTACATGGAAGGAGAATCCAGTAATACAAGGATGCAACGATGCAAGGGGAACAGCGCCATCGAACTACGCAAGAGGAAATTGGCCTCCAATGGCCCCCAAAAAGGCGGAATCCATAAAAATTTATTAGATTAAACGGGCCGCGGGGCCGTCTGAGACTGGGGATGGCCCGGATGGGCGGCCCGCGAAGAGGAAGACCAAAAGAGGAAAAGCAGCGGAGCAACGGTGGAGAGGGGAGAGGGGAGACACACGTTGGATCATGTCAACATGGAATACGCTAATGCTACTGAGTTTCATGTCCAGAACCACGCTGAAAGCCCGGACATGTCGACATGTCTCACTGTACTCCGTAAGGTTGGAGTGACTCATTTCGGGTGTTGCAGAGGCCCTTCATTGCCGGTCCAAGCTTCAAATGGGCAAAGGGTGACCTCCCCCCCACCCCCCCCGGGTGGATCTGGGCGCCAACCCATTTAATGTCAGGGCCCGCTACCTAGCAGCATTACTCTGCGATCGCGGGTCCATTCGGATCCTTCGAGGCTTCGATGGAGGCGATGGACCATCGCGATTCGCGATCCATGGACAGGGACCAGGGTGCTGGCCAGGGTGCTGGCCAGATATTGGAATACCTGGCCCCTACTCTCGAAATTGTGTGAGTTCCTTGCGGCCTTGCAGACGTGCAGGCGTGGAGGACGGCGCACACGATGGATCCGGAGTTGACTTAAGATGAGGACTCTGCTCCCTGGGGACGCTTTCCTTGCGCGGACTCTGACCATCAGTCATGCAGAATTAAGAATTCGTCGAGGTGACGATCATGGCCAACGCTCCGGGGGCTGTGGATACCTCGTACAGCGGCGACTCGCTGATGGGCGTGTCAATCGCCATTGCGGTGCTCCAGGTGCTGATAGTTACTCTACGGTTCTACGCCCGCTCAGTACAGCGAGTCGCACTCGCATTAGACGATTATCTGATTCTTCTGGCACTGGTCGGTCTCTTTTTAGTACCTGGTGTCTTTTTTCAAAGTCCAGTCGCTAATGTCGTGCAGATTGCCAGTCTGGGACAATCTGCCCTATACATAGTCTGTACGTGCACTTGTTCACGATCGAAGCAAGCGCCAACTAACTCGCACACAGTGCTCCAGGTCGCGGGCCTGGGATACCATCTTGAATATGTCTTGCAGACTCCCGAGAAACTCGTCGCTTTACAGAAGGGCCTAGTCGCGAACCAAGTCCTCGACTTTCCCTTCACAGTCACGCCCGCCAAGATCTCCATTCTGCTGTTCTATGCGCGCATCTTCACCACCACAAATTTCCGCATCCTCGCCGGCATGGTGGGGGCGATCGTCCTCGCCCATGGAATTAGCGTGTTCTTCGCCGCCATCTTCCAATGCTTGCCCGTGCAGTACGCCTGGGACAAAAACATCCCGGGCGGATCGTGTTTCGACCAGCAGGCCTTTTATCGCTACGTCTCGCCGCCGAATATCCTGACTGACGTGCTCATTCTCATTATGCCGCTGCCGTTCGTCTGGCGGCTGCACACGCGCCTGACGCAAAAACTCGCCTTGACGGGCGTGTTTATTCTTGGAGGGCTGTGAGTAGCCCTAACGAGCACATGCGCTGACAAGTCTAATATCTTGCAGAGGCACCGTGGCGAGCATTCTGCGGATGACCATCTTTTTTCAGGAGAACGCCATGACCGACCCAACCTGTATGTTTGCACCGAGCCAAAGGTACCATTCCACTGCTAACCCTCCAGGGGCCTCGGTCAACCTGGGTATTTGGACGGTGCTGGAAGGCAGCATCATCATCATCGCGGCCTGTCTCCCCTCGACCTGGCCGCTGATCGTGCGGATTCTTCCGCGCGGCCTGATGGGCAAGGCGTTCTCGCAGAACCATAGCCGCCACCGGTACCCGACCAAGCATGCCAAGCCCAAAGGGGCGGACGGATTCTCCCGGCTGGGCAAGCACGCTACCGGTACGACGGATAAATGGCCTCTGGCCGCGAATCCTTCGCTTGAGAACCAGAGCGTGTCACTGTCCACCCACACCCTCGATCCAACACTAGTCAATGCCGAGAGTATCTCCCTTCGGAGTATGAATGAAATCCGAGAGGAACCGAGATTTTCATGACCGGTGATTTGCCGTTTGGCGGACTCCGGAGTAGGCATTACAAATATATACAAATATACTTAAATAAATGCCAAACATCCGTCTGTGCGTCCTTATCTCAACGGATGTGCAGATAGCCCCCACGAGCATGGCCAAGCCTCTTCTCCACAAATTATCCACTGCTGAGTGTCGTCGGCGAGATTCAGCCATCCAGACCAGGACCAGGATGCGACAGAGGAAATTCAATCAAGCGGTACTTCTTTGGCTTGTGAATAGGAAATTACAACGTTCAATAATTCTAATTCATCACTGAGTGAAACGAGACTTCCCAACGCTAGCTTCTTGGATATTTGGGGGCCGACGCGATGGTCGCGGATGTTGCTGTTGTGGGCAGCTGGTCAAAGCTTCAGACCGGTGATGGACGACCCATTCGGGACGATGGTCATCTAACAGAGGCTCCCCTATTCGCTCCGTTCGCAGATGCGAGGAACTAAATGGCATGATCACGGTGGAACTGTTTACGCGAGGTCGCAGCTGAGTCCAGACCAATCTTATCTCGGAGTCGAGGAGATTTTTTTGAAACCCAGCCCTGCCAGAGGGAGCTGTTACCCCGATGCACCCAACACGGCGAATAAATACAAAGTTCTGGATGATAGGCCGTCCAGCGCGCAGCTGTAGATTCCGAAGATGAAAATATTGCCTCTAAACCCTCGGGGCGTGCTGTCCATCCTGGATATCCGCCGCGGCTAGTCCTTCTTGTAAAGCCTCTTCTACCCAGGCTCGGATAAAGTCTGCCTGGGTCATCGTGGCCGTCCGCAGCGGCTGCCCCGTGCTGTTGCTGGTAGTATGGGTGACGAAGTGGCTTCCGGCTGCTGTGGGAAAGAACCGCTGGCAGCTGACTAACACGGTCTGCAAGGCGGCGTTGGGCCTGGGCCTGGGCCGGATTCCAGCTGAACGAGCTGCCGGTCCCGGTAACGCTTCCTATCTAGTTGCCCGGCCACGATAAATTGCTTCTTTCTTTTGTTCGTTCCTTTCCCCTTCTGTTCTCCTATTCCGCTGCTGTCGCGTCGCGTCGCGTCGCGCCGCATAAGTCTTCACGAGAGGCTAGCTGCAACTTAGGAACCCCCTCCTTCCTCGTCGATTCAACGATCCAGCCTAAACATCGTCCCCACGCCCTAGCTCAATGGATCTTTTTATTTACAACCCAAGCTTCCGGGTCTAGATTTGCACGGGCCCTCGCTTCCGGTTTGCGGTCTCCCCGAGGACTTTGGTCACCCACCTTCGTTCCCGGCACCGCTCTCATCCGACCACGGCTACCACAGCCCTCTGCCAGGCAGCTCTCACTGAGATGCTGAAGCAGCCTTGGATAGACCCGACCCGGGAACCATCAATCAATTACAGTAACCCTCATACTATATTGATCTTAGAACAAGAATGGCAAGGAAAACAAAAACTCGTAGAATGTATCCATAAGCCTTAGGCTCTAATGGGTAGGAGACTTCAAATATACATTTATTAGAAGCTAAAAACCAGCTGAATGAACCTTAGAGGTTACCTCTTGGTTTTATGACCCAATACTTGCAGGCTTTACATCAAAACTGACGGTCAGGATGAAGAATTAATGTACTTGCTAGGACTGAACATGTCTCATAGAATTAATTAATTGATTTAAGGCCGTCGGATCAGTTGGTCGGTCTCTGGGGTCTGCATAATCCGAGCTACGGCCTGTTATGAGATCATGCTTCCAAGTCTAGTCCGAATACCATATGATCACTGGGAAATTAGATGGGTGCTGAATAACCTCTCCAAAAATGGCTGTGATATTTCACCGCCCCCTTCATTTCGTCACTAGCTGATCCAAATCGAGTTCTGAATGCGAACGTGTCCCGTAACTTACCAGCGAGTCCGAACAACGCAAGGAAGACATTTACAGTCCTTTACAGCTAGCATACACGGCTTGATCAGAATCCGCAGTCCAATTTACCGTGATGAAACAGATTCGATGGCTGTCGTTAAGGGAACAGTTTGGTACTTTTAATAGACTGAATTGGCATATGATGTCAGATCAATCTCCAGCGCGTCCAGTATTTCATTCCCCTCCTTTCTAACGTACTCGAATTCCGAACAACGTGCACTAGCTTAAACATCGTCAGCCTCATATGCATTGCAGCCGAGCTATGAGGTCTTTTCCAAGCCCGGTCATATACCAGGCGATGATCTATAGCCGATTTCCAGGATTTGATTGTCTCAAGTAGCTGATTTTGCCGGCCAAATTCCTTTGCTTGATTTTCATAAGCAGCGTTATACCCCCGCTTTACAAACCAGCACTCGCAGGGCGAACATATCCATTCTTGCTCTTGGCATCGACGAATAAGCTCCCAGATCCTTCTCTTCTCCGTCCATATTCATGTGCGCTATTGTACACGGCTAGTAAAATGTCTGTAGAATCTGCACTCACAGCCATGGAAAACACCATTTCCGGTTCTCGGTAGGAGGTTAGAAAGGCGACGATCGATATCCTCTAGGTCGACTTTAACCGCCACTGCCCAATGTGGGCGGCAATCACATCCAACCACGATTTATCGAGGCGAACCGCCTGTACACCTTTTCCAAGAGCACAATCTCCAAGGCTGTTACCCGGTGGCCGTCGACTTTTGGGCCTCTCAATGACCTGGGAGGAAGCATCTCTATTAACCAGAGTTCACTGACTGGCCAGAACTTCTTGTTAAATGCCATCTTTACCACCAAAATTACGGATCAGTCCACCGCGCATACTCAGAATAGAGTCTTCAAGGCCGCCCCAACCTCACTACTTCGTCTAGGATGCATATGAACAGGCGAAGTGGGACCAGACCGGCGTCGAAGTAAAACGAGACCGTCTTTGGATATATATATACACTAGAACAACGGTATTAGCTATGGAACTTCACACATCAAATCGACGTCCTTGCTCATACTCGAAAAGTCGGTTTAATACCTATCTCAAAGTCCAGCAGACGGGGGTGAACCACGTACGTTAGAAATAGCAAGAGAGTTATACCGAGCATAGTTAAAATCATACACGCACAGCGGCCTTCTTTCAGGAAATTCGACAAAAGCGCCGAACCTAGATATACACGATCGAAAAAGTGATCGGGAAACAGCTTAGGCTAAGGGTGACCGGCAAAAATAACAGAGGCCGGTCAACTCGCTAGTGAGTGGATCCGCAGATATATCGGCTGGTTATCGCGAAATTTATAGGACCTTCACCCGAAACTAACAGGCTCGATTACAACCGACGGACAGCGAGAGGCCGTTTATTATTCCCCTAGTATTCTCAGTTCATTTTAGCCGGCGTCTTAGAAGAAGCTCGGAGAGAGCACGTAAGGATATGTCGACATGAATGGGTGCATAAGCCCATGAGAGCTATCGAACTTGACAGAATGCGACGGAACGTCCACGTGACGACGATCTTCAACGATTGACATCAACAACTTGCACACATGACGAAAGAGCTTCAACACTCTACATTTCTCCTGATTTCTATAAGATTCTAGTCTGACGTATTGCCTCGATTTCATGAAGTTATAAATATTGCCTGTTTTCCATAGCTAGTTGAATCAAGTTTAATGATTGTGATGAAGTTGGAGCATTCTTCTATCATAAGTTAACTTCCGATTCTGAGCCGAATCGTACGACCTGACTTGACCTATACGATTCTTCGCCAATCGTATACTGATTTGACCAACCGTGTACACTCGCTTGCTTGTACACGACCGAAGGATTTACACTGACCCCGTAAATCCGACAAATATATACTAATAGATGTCTAGATAGCACTTCTCTCGATCTATATACCAATTCTCTGTTCTAAAATTCATTTATTTGTCAACGATATCTGGAATATACATTCGATTCGCCCGTAGCTTAAATGGCTATATATTGTCCTAGGGAAGCCGATTATAAATTACTATCACCTAGCTCTAGGTGTTCCTGATTGCTAAGAACGTCTTAATTATACCCTTCTAGAAATATATAATTTGATTCTACTATTCTATAATTTACTAACACTATTTTAGTCTCTAGTAGGATATAGCTAAATAGGACCCTACTAAATATCTTCTACCTGCTACTCTAGCTTAGTGTCACACGCAGCTTTATAAAATTAGGCTTCAGGAGGTAGGCGAGCTACTTAACCCTGAGGATCCTCTTATCTAGCTACGTAGCGAGAGAGAGCAGCTATATCGCTAGGTCTATAAGGCCCTACGTAAGCGGGCCCTTTTCCACTACAAATCAGGTACCCTGCCTATATTAGAGGTTAGTACTAGGCCCCTTAGCGCGTTTAGATAGGGCCCGAACACCTAATAGTAGCAGGACGCGGAAGTGGAAGCAGCTAAACACGAGGATCCTGATCCTTTATGATGTTTCTTTTTCCATCGTTTATCTTATCCTTTCCATCGTTTATCTTATCCTTACTATCGTTTATCTCATCCTTTCTCTCGGTTAGATTATGTTTTCTATCGAGTATATCCTCAAAAAAACCTGTCTTCTTTTATCGCAAAAATAGCATCCCAGCAGGCTGTTCCTATTAAAACTATACTAGCTGCTATCTATCAATTAGGAGCTACACTATCAGCAGCGGCAAATACACTATCGCTGTCGATTTCATCTAGTAAATCATCAATTCTACCTAGTACACTATTAATTCAACACAGTACACTATCGATTCTAAGCAGTAGATCATCGATTTCAACCAGCACGCTATCAGTTCCGGCTACACAGGCACCGCCACAGCTCAATATACGCTTTGCGGCTCTCTCTAGTACTATAAGCCAGGCTCGAACTGCTTATACTAGGCGCCTACCACTAGTAGTTAAGCCTCCGGTTGATAAGGATATTATATTTAATATAACCTACTACCTAAAAGTAGTAGGTTACGATATTCACCTAATCAAGGGTAATCTTCCTTACTCTCTCAATTATATTCCTATCTCTCTAGTTTATATACTAATCACTAGTGTATAGATACCCTTACCACAATATATATATCATCCTCTCAGCAATAGAGCTCCTGTCAACATGTGGATGTGCGATACCCCGCACTGAGCGTGTAGATAAGCAATACACATCGGACCAATCGGATATCCACCACTACACGATACGATGATAAGATATCTTAACTATCTTATCAAATGGAAAGAACAACGAGTTTCCTAACACTCTCGTATCCCCCATGTTACTCTGAGAGTTTTATCAGTCTTTTTTCTTGACATTCTGCTATGTACCCAAAGTTATAAATACTGCCTGTTTCCCTAGTTAAATTGAACAAGTTTGACACCATTTTCACTCACTAATAGAGCTCAAGGCAATTCTGATTTAACTGTGTTGACCTTCCACTGTTCAACCTGTTCGCTGCCGACCCACCTCTATTGCACTTTCGTCACTCTTCCATAATCGTGGTATTCGATCGACCTGTGTGCGCCTACAAGCACACGCCTCAGGGTTTATGCACACGGCGTAAATCCGACAGCTCCCTTGTTATGATATATCCTGGGATGAGGTTATTCCCAAGCGTTGGTGCCTCAGGCTTCCCGGACCTGATAAGCCGGCAGGCTTTCTGTGGAGGCTCGCTGGGGCTTCGGCATCAGTACGTGTACGAACTCCTGCAGGGAACACCCTTGACAGAGGTTACACAAGCCTCGTGTTTCACCCCGCTCCCATTTCCCTACTAAGGATACATCTCCTTCCTGTTTGAGCGATGAGACTGTATATAAATTGACCTATGTTAAAGAGGTTTTACGATCCTCAAGAAACAGTCTTTGACTATCTCACACTATTGACTTGGCCCCATTTCTCCTACCTGATTGACAGGCCTCTATCCTAACTTATAGAGTATATCCTTACATCCCTACATATCTTCTTATCCGATCTACATCGCCGACTATAAGGTTTACGCAGCGCTGATTACTCCGCGGATATCGAGGATACTCCCTTACTCGCTCGGGACGTATTTGCGACTAGTAACACTAGGCTATTAACAGCGCGCTAGCTCGAACCTACTAGTTTTACTAGTAATAGTAATCCTACAGTGTTGACTATCCAGCAACTTTATCGAGTAGCGAGCAAGGAGAAGAGCGTGCCCATCTTCTATGTCATTATACAACGATCACAGCAGGGGGAAGGTAGGCTAACCTACAGGCCGCCATCAATTAAATCTAAAGACGCAGCTACATATATAGACCGCGTAGCAGAGGAACGCCTAGCTAGGGAACGCCTAGCTACTATCATAGATAGCCTAGCTTCCATCGTGGATGGCCCAGCTTCCATCGTGGACGGCCCAGCTTCCATCGTGGCAGAGCCTACGCAGTGCAGGGCTAGCCAGAACGCATCAAAGAAGGGCAGACCTCGCAATTCTCCCCCGCCAGCTACAGTGCAAAGGAACCTGAGTCAGCGACGTCGAAGATGAGGAATACTATGCATTTTTGCTAGTACTATGTCCTAAATCCATGTACTTAAAGAGCAGCAGTAGATAGTTCTAATTGATTGTATTTTTTTGGGTGTATAAGATCTATTTCTAAGACCTTTGTGATAATGCATGAAAATTAGGTAGTGGTGTAGAAAGATTCAATAGCGATGGGACTTGGCCAAATTTTAATGGAACTTGGCTAAATCAGAATTCTGCCGGTGAAATCTGCATTATAATTATGCATTGGCGAATGGCGTCTATACACCGCCGTACCAGGTGGTGCTGCCAGCCTTTCCCTTAATTTAAGGTTCTGTAGATACTGTCAGCATATATAGGTCGGGTATGCTGATTACATTCGAACTCTTGGTAAGGGGCTGTGTGTTAACGCCTCTTGTAGAGCATTGGGTGAATTATCGGGCCCTGAGTAGTAAATATAATTCTAAGAAAGCTAAAGGTTGTCGCCCATGGAGCATTTTTGGCCTATTAGATTATTATGTGACTGCAGCTTCCGCTCTTAGCGCCATTTTAGTCCGACAGATACTTTCGTTTAATATACTTTGAGATATCTCTGTTATTCGATTTAATTAATTCTTTAGCTAATTTAGCTAATTTAACTAATTTAATTAATTTGCTTAATTTATCTAATTTTTAATACTCTTTAATTATATACTAATAAGCTCTTTTAAATAGTAGTAAATATTTAGATTCCTATTTTAAAGGATCTGGAAAAAGTATATTACTATAGGTGGGATATTTGGCACATTCTATTCAGCTAAAGTATTATATTTAACATTTGTAGCTAATCCTAATGGTCCATTATCTAGTTAAAAAATTGCACACGAAGGTGATTTATTCTTAACTGTTTCAGATAACCAATTATATAATAGTATAATAACAGCTCACGCTATAAAAGGGTCATATGGATTTAGTAGTTTCAGTTAACTGGAAAAGACGGTTAAGTCGATAACCCTAAAACACCATACTAAATGCGATTTTTTCAGGCTACGATAAACCAACAACCACAAGCAGATTTTGTTCATTTCCAGTAGTATGTAAATTCTTAGTATCAAAAATAGTGCAGAATAATTGAATGCCCAGAAAAGTATTTATTTACCAATATTACCGAAATACGCTCCGATGTGGAGTTTTATGTTTGTATACCAACATTATCACACCTTAAAATATCTCTCGACCTGGTAAATATATCTAGTATGATGTACTAAACACTGGAAGATTCCAAGACGCCTCGAATGGTGTTGTTGACTTGGGAGCTTTTGTGACATTTGGAGAGGGGATAACTTAGACCAATTTTATCGCATAATAGACAGAATATCCTACTACATGAACGGCGATAAGATGATAAATACGCCAAACTGTAAAATAGAATCAAATAGTACCTCACTTTTGAAGCTGTCATATTGTCGTTGCCATTCCAGTTCCCTTATCATATTTCGATTATACTATAGCCCCTTTTGTATTCTCATCTGTAGATAGATAAAGATTAGGTTGTCGCTCCTGTAAAGATGGCCAGGATCAGGAACGGAGACTAAGTCTCACCTTTCCATATCGATAATTACATTTCTCCCCTTCTTCTGAAGCTCTGTCAACTGCCAGAGCATTCAACCACACGGCCAAGCGAATCCCTGCTTTGAGAATTTGTGCTTCCACAATAGGAGTAGCGTCGTGGTAATACTGTCCACCCAGATCGTGACTCGTAAGCCATTCAACGCCATTTTTGAAAACAAAATCACAATTCAGTCTGTTTGTCTCACTTGCCCATATCATAGAGCATTTTAATGGCCTGTTTATGTCAGAGCATTCTGCATGAAGGGGCCTCAGTCCCTGAGACTGGAACAATTTTTCGGCCCACTTCACAGCAGGCTCTTTTTCGTCGTTGTGCTTATGGCTGTGCTTAAGTCCGTTCACTTTATGGGGGATATCCGTGTCCCACACACTGTGAAGGTTCGTCTTGTCGCAGCGTTTGTCAAAGCAAACGTGAATATCGTTGCCTCCTCGACACTTATCCTCAACATGCAGTGGTTGGTGTAGATCACCAATGAAATGTATTAAGAACTTCAACGCGTCACCTTGCTGCGTCTTCTCCAGAGTGGGGTTTTGAACTCGGTGTGTCTTTTGAACGTTAGTAAGGGTTTGCTGATGTTTGCATCTAATTGGATTGTATTATTTAGAGGCATCTTTCACTGACCATATTTTCAATAGCAGATATAACACATCCGTCCTTCGTGCAATCTGTTTCATAGGAAACACGACACGAATCAGACGGTTGATCCTGGGCATCTATTTGAATAAGCCTAGGGATCTGGAGTAGCTAGCATTAGTACATACCTATATAATGCCATGGTCTAGTAAATGGAAATTTCCATTTCTGGTGATCGGGCCACACTGCCGCATCTGAGATATCAAAATCCCCATCCGGGTGAATAAGGTCTTTCACTAGCTGAGTACCCTCCTCAGTTAGATACTTCTCTGCCAAATATGCTACCGTTCGATGACCGAGGTCTCCCCAGCCCCAAGTGAACGGCACTGTGTAACTGAGTAACAGAAGTGACCAGAGGGAGTACATTGCTGGTGGGCACGCAACTGGTAATCGCTATTGGAAAGCTGAGCTTCGGATAGAATTTTTTGAGTCTTAAATGGAAAAATATACTAGGAGACATAGTGGTCAAGTATTTATGAGTCCTCGGAAATAGAAGCAAAAATCAGTTCTACTATGTAGACAGCCCTCCGAACGGTCTAGATCCAGCAAGCTTAGCGGATGGGACAAGCCTAGATGCGAATTTTCTGCTGTTTGCAGCTGATTTCTCAATGACCTAAAATTCCTGCTCCGTGGGCCGAGCCCCGTAAGGAGATCGTTGGTAACTGGGAGGCTGAACGAATCTAGCACGAAGCTTGGATTTCACCCGGGAATTACATTAAACGTACACGACTGAGGTCACTCATCACCCGAATCCAAAATATAATCTTGCCACTAGCTTTTCTGAATTTCTGTCCCAGAATAATTATTTTGAAACTTGATTTACCATTGAAATCAATAGGGTGTTTTCAACATGAAGCCATTTATCGCTTGGCGAGGGAGCTCAGCCGACGGCTTCTAGAGCCGAGATGGAGTTTGGGTCAAAACCAAGACAACAAAAGTACATAAACTACTTAGTTTAGTAAGTAGAATGATAGGTATAGATGGATGTAGAAATATGTAGTTGTGATTCAAAGTCACCACGTAACCAGTATTGCACACTACTCTCGTAGTAGCTACGGACTAATTCCAATAAACTTGAGTCGATTCTTGATCAAGGGGGCAATTTGAGGGATCAGGACACAATCACGAACAACGAATGTGCACGAACAACGCATGTGTAAACGGAAAGTTTCTTCTCTGAAGCCATTTTCCTCAGTGCAGGTGACTTGATACGAGCGTTGTCTCTTGGCAAAACACACTCTAGATACCTAGCAGGATCTAGTCCCATGTAAACATTGTGTGTTTTCACGGGTGCGCTTATTTTGAAGGATCTATGGTATATCCAAACTTTAGAATGCGCGAAGACCCGGCATTCTGCTTGTGGATATTCGACAGGTTCTAGATTTACTCGGATCATGATCAAAGACAAAGACTAAACTTAGTGCATATTCTAAGTTGTACCTATTAACTAGTAGGATTATTTTGGAATGAGGGCATCATTGTCTGCTCTTACCGCTCAATAGGTGCGTGCCATTGTATTGGGTTAAGTAGTGGACTGGTGACGAAACTCGCCCTTCCAGCTCATGGAAGTATGTCATCTATAAACCTCTTTACAAGATTGCGCCAATCACGTCCCGAACAAGCGAAACCTGGAACGGATCAATCCACTAGCCAAACCTTACATCTCTCATGGTTCTCACCCATTGCCATTGGCAGTCTTTGAGATCTACTGTCGGTATTATTATTATTCAAATCGTGTAGGCTTTTGCATGTACAGATGCAAAAGAGTGGGTTGGTTTCAGACTTGAGGCCATTGCTACAAGTGGGGGGTTGAGGGTTTTGGTTCAATGCCGGGGTTTCATGCCCACCAATCAAATCCGCCATGAACCATGAGCTGGAACTGAGACTTGATTGCAAGCGGGGATATTTCTCTGCTAAGCCAAATCGCAAGACATCATCTTACTGTCAAACCGTGAGACTTCTTCGAGAAATGCTCCCATAATAATGGCTAGGTTTGATTTGTCATCGCGAGCTGATCACTTGATACGTCTTTAAGGAAAATAATCCCCGCTAGATCGTGTGGCACAAATGAATATATTAACTTTAACTCCCCTTGTCTAGATAACACAATCATCATACACTCAAAATTGCCTCACAGACCAGCTTAACGTCTCTACTCCTTCCCGTCATGCCCCGCGAATCGGTGCAGCTAGCGGCCCAGCTGGCAAGTTACAAACGTATCATCCTATGTGCAGACGGGACCTGGCTTGCGTCCGACCTGGGAGACGCGTCCGTGCCGTCCAACGTTGCGAGAATTGCTCGCACCATCGCGACGAGTGGCCCAGACCTCCATGGAAACATCGTTCAGCAAATTGTCTCATATCATTCTGGACTGGGAGCGGGGGAGCTCCCTTTCCAAAAGGCTATTTTTGGTAAGTTCAGATGTTGTCAATTTGATATAGTGCAGGGCTGATGTGATAACCGTTTCCTGTCTATCATAGGCGGCATCGGCTGGGGTTTAGACAATGAAGTTTGTCAGATCTACGAGTTCATATCCAACAACTACGTTAAAGGTGATGAGTTGTTTTTTTTGGATTCTCGCGCGGCGCTTTTACCGTCCGCTCCGTAACTGGCCTTGTCTCCGACATAGGCGTGCTCTCATCTCAACACATGTCGCACTTCGCCGAAATGTGGAAGGCTTACCGGGAAAATACAGGCGGACAGCCCTTCCGGAAGACAGCATGGTATCAGCAGAATCACGGCAAACTGCGCTTAGAGGATGATGTCCGCATCAAGGTAGTGGGTGTTTGGGATACTGTTGGCGCTCTAGTACGTGCAGATTCTTCCGAAGCAGCAAGTGACAGGGGCTAACAGTGTTATTAACAAGGGGATCCCTAATTGGCCGTTGGTAAATTTGGCTTCAAAAGTGGGTATCAATCTTTCAAAGCAATACGCATTTCACAACACAAATGTGTCAAAATGTGAATTCATCGCTCATCACCTACACGTCGTCTTCCACTTTCAATGCAACCCCGCTTACCAGTTGGTGTAGACATAGACTATGCCTTTCAAGCCCTATCTATCGATGAGAGACGACTCACCTTCCCACCAACCCTTTGGCACAGAACTCAGGATGCGCCAGCCAAGGATCTACAGCAATGTTGGTTTCCCGGCGTACACCAAAATATTGGGGGTGGGGCGCCGGATTGTGAAATTGAGGATATCACATTTGCATGGATGGTATGCCCTTTTTACCACCTCTTCTTCCACTCCATTTATTATCACGTTTCATTGTCTACTAACTTGGGACCTCCAGGTGGACAATCTTTCCGGAATGTTGGCCTTTGAAGGTGTGATAATCGAGGAAATAATCCAGAAACACCTTGCTACGCGTGCCGAACGTAACTCACTAGCCCAACAAAAAGATAATTGGGGCTGTGGGTACATCAGATCCAATTTTGCTGGCCTGCTGGGTGCGTTCTTCCGTGGGCTAGGGAAACAGGACCGCACGCCGGGAAACTATCCGCAGGTTCCAGGGGATGACAAGAGCGCTCGCACCACTGAAGAGTCCTTCCATCCGATTGCCCGGATCCGGAAGACCAAACTGGCTGGAGGTTATTCACCAGCTGCGCTGGGTGGATATGTGATCGAGGGGCCCGGTAATGGTAGTGGTGGCCAAACCGGCTGGCAATGGGTCAAAAAGGACGTTTCCCTGGCAGTGCCAGAGTACGTTTTGCTCCCGGATAAGAAGATGACTGTGACACATAATTTGGATTTTGTGTCCCGGCCCAGCCTATCCAGAACTCTATGTCCAAAGAGCCGTTTGGCGGACCTCGATCGACATAACGGTATAGCCATACCTGCTAGTGAGACGACTGCCATTCAATGAGATGTGTCTTGTGCAATCAATTCTTGGTATGTTTGTGGTATGTTTGCGTGACGGTCAAGAATCTATATATCCATATTGAAATGCAGCAGTTTCACATATTTAAGGAAGTTTTCTTGCTACCAGGGTGGACTGAACGCGTATCTTCTAGATATTTCTTGGCTAAATAAGCTACCATTCGATGGCAGATATCTCCCCAGTCCTGAGTGACATAGATTATATGAATGAGTAGCAAACTAACCAGAGATGATGCATTGTTATTGTTGACTTGTGGGCTGGTATCTATCAATATTGGAATGTCTGCGGAACCAGTTCTCTTAGGTGAAAGGTCCACCAGACAGTCTAGATTCAGGAAGGCTTGCAGTGACATTAGATCTGGAACATGAACATTATGCTATTTGTGGCAGAATGATGATGAATTTATTATTGGATCTCGGGTGATATATCATGACCGTAAACCAGAGACGTCTGTCCCATGGCCCTAGCATGCCCAAGAAGGTCGCTTGTATTTCGACGGCTGAATGAAAGCATAAATGTAACAGCAAGGGTTCATAGTTCAGTACGTTAATACGAACTGTGATCGGTCCATGGCCCGTCCAACCATTTATATGACACTCTAATTTAACGGACTCACTCTATTGGTGCATATTCTCTTGTAACTTTTTAGTAACTAATTAATATACATGATACGTAAGCTGGACAGATAATCAAACTGGATTGGGTCTTAGGGAGTTTGGGGGCTATCGTGGCCATTTAGGTTAGTTATCCATATCCATATTAGTCATCTACTGCTAGCGGCAAGGCTTGTAACAGTTATTGGGATGTGTAGAGTTGCATGGGGGGTTTTGAAACTAAGTGGCCTATGACTAATATCCTGTATCTCTGGCAGGCGATTTGGAGCTCCGTAACCCGCATTGCAGAAGGGGTAACTGATCGTTATGATTAAAACTTTAAAGTATATTGTGAGTCCATCGCAAATGCCTGGTCTGGACCCCGCCAGTACCTCCGGGTAAGACCGACACCGTTTGCGGATAAAAAGCGGAAGTCCGCCTGGAAGGAACCTTGCCACTGAAACATACTAAACTTTATTTAATTCTTGGCTATGGGAATGACACAGCGTACGATTGGTGTCATAGGTAAACGCTGGTCGATTTCTTAATGCCAATAATCAAAGCTTATTTTGATTTACGCAGCTAATTCTATCATGCCAAACACAGCTAAGTCTCCCAATGTGTACAAATACCTTAACAGCACGCGATAGTGACTACATTGATCTACTCGTGTAATACTGGGCCCTCTATTGCTTTAGTAGCTTCATCTGAGTCAGCCTGCGAGGTCACAGCTCCCATACATATCCCACCCGCGCCCCTCCGTCGCCACGACTGCCACTATCATGTCCCCAACACGGGCAGTACGAAATATGATGCGCGACTACGAGATTCGGCTCCTGCTCAAACCAAGTGCAGTTCTCAACCCTGAACACGAGGTAACGGCTACCGTCCTATCGACCTTCGAGATGCCCCCGACTGTCACAAAACTGAATGTCCAATTCCTCGATAATATCTCCAGGGACCTCTATGCCGCCGACTGGAGCGCCCGTATCCGTAAGATCGAAAACGATGATAACTTCGAGCTGACGTATAAGAAGCGGTATGCCGTCACAGGCGGCGACATTGACGCTGCTCTCGTTGCGGCTAACAACGATGGCTTCAACGCTGGCAGCGCAAAATTCGAGGCGCAAGTCGAATAGGGTAGGGTGTTTAGCGACTACCTAAAACATAAAGGACGTGACCATCTTTTAGGTCGCTCAGGCAGGGAACAGTGGAACGAATTGAAATAACATACGCTTTGAGTAAAGATCTCCGCAAGCAATTATGTCATTTTTCAAGGGTCTCACCATGACACGTCTATCCCCATATCCCCAAGAAACCCCCGCAGCACCAGCTGTAAGATGCCTAGTCGAATAGGTTGAAATGTCAAGCCTGTGTCAAAATTTCTTTCAAAGGAAATTGTGGCTTTAAATCAAAAAAGAATAATTCATGTTCAAAATTTCACGTGAATGTCAGTTTGTCTCTTGAGTCAGCGTATGGTTTGCAACGGTCTCGTGATTTTTGACCTCGATGTCACGCCTAGGGACAATTTATATTTCCTTCCATTGATAAAAATATGAAGCTTTTCAATCATCTACATTCAGTGAAGTTGCTATTCAAACACCACTTAGGCCTCAGTTCGATCATATATTTTGTGACATATAAGTGGCGTCTCTTATACTATCATATAACATCCCTCGGATCGTCGGCTTCCAGCGGCTCCATTGGTGTTCGGGGCCAATTGGCCCTGCGGCCATTGACCCAATGACCCTGTTTTCTTTTGTTCAATTTTTAGCGAATGAAGATAAATAAGGCAGGAGGTTCGTCCCGAATTTATAGCTTCTCCCGGGTGGTAAAGCAGTGGGTGAAATTGATATGAATCATACACATCACCAACATAGTATGTAAATGGTCTGGACTGTCAACCACTATCAGCTAAGCAGACAATGCAATAAAATAGTCTGCACCTCGTAGCATCTAGGCATTGGTAATCGCCGGTTGCGCTGTATAGAAGAGAAGCGTATGATTTTCTATGGATAGACGCGTAAGATTAGCTTCAACTGCTTCTTGGAGCTAGAATCGACTCTGTACACCAAATTTATTATTAAACTGTCCCATTCACAGTTTGAATAGAACCGCGCGTGATACCCTCTTAGCATTCTATGATTGAAACAGAGTTTCAGTCTTCAGGTTTATGTGACCCACAGATCAGGTAACCATGCGACAAGGAAATTTGGCTGAAGAGTAACCAAAGCCTTCTTTTTCCTGCCTGCATTCGGTAAATGACATGACAAAAGTACTCAGTTATAAAGCTGCTTCAGAAGAATAGTATTCCGGGCCCGATTCCATTCCAGCGTCTGCAAAGAGAAATTCATAAAAACGATAAATCTGTACACTCTTTTATGCTTCATTATTTCTATAAAATCAATCAGCTGCTAATTACATCCGTTCGCTAAATCAAAGGCCAAGGCATTGACTTCAGATTAGACCCAATTATGTCCATTAGGGTCCTGATGGTATGTGCCAACCATTCAAAATCCCATTCAGTTATCCAACTTTCAAATGCTGTTTGCACTAATTGTGAATATTCAGCTATAATATCGAGTCCACCGTAAGCAACTTGATCTAGGCCGGAACTGGATAACTTAGTCTCCGTTTGCGGGTAATAATCTCATGTGCTCCAAAAGTACTAGTGGATTCAGGATCTAGATTCTCCTTTCGGTGGCTGATGAAAGGCTAATATGGTTCTTCAGCGCCTGTATTATACTCAAAGAGAGAATATATGAGAAACAGTGATCCCAACGAACGCCCTGCAAAGTGCTTTAGTCGCCTACCTGAACACCACCTAACCAAAGCACCATTCGAAAACCCTTATCAGTCCCACAATGACGGGCAGTATTCGCCCAATCCACCACGCCCAAGCCCTGACCAGCCTCCACAACGATTATACTATTTTTGATGCTCCCTTAAGTCAAAGAGGTCCTGCTTCGCTGAAGACCTAAGACGCAGCTTAAGCAATGTGTTGAGAGCAGAATTATTAACTGTAAGGGGCATAAAAGTGTGATTCTGCGTATATCTTAGTCTGCTAGTTCCGGCAGATCCCTAAAGGTTAAATGTTTTGCGTTAAGCCAGCCGTGGTTCGCATTCCTGGAATACACTTTCACTTCCACCATTTAGGTTCGGGTCATCCCGACTCAGCCGGTCGGAATGTTTACCCGCCGAAACAACAGCAATGTTCGAGATCAGCCCGAGCCATGGGACAAACACCCCTGATCCATGGTTTTTGATCAAATGGCCTGGCAATCAAAAACAATATTGCAATCAGCAGTTTTTGCACTGCAAAACTGTAGACTAATTCCGGGTTGTGCTAGATGCAACCGTAATATTTCCTGGATCTAGACAATTCGATAGACCTGCCATCTAATCGTACTGAATTATCTAGAACTTCCAATCCTAGGAAATCTTAACACATAGCTGGTAGATTAGTTTCACAGCTACCCATAATTTATTTAGGCTTTGGCTTTACAACTATTGGATACGAGGTATGAACCTATTTTTGTAACTAACGTTCTGCAGTCTTACGGTGACACAGCAAAAGTATTTGGAACACCCCCAGCCCCACCTCCCTTACCGCCCACACTAGCTTTACCGCCTACTAGATACGCGTAGTAAGAAAACACGCTAAGTTGCATGAAACGCGTTGGTTGCAAGATTAATTAGAACCTCCTATCCAGTATCCTCAATTGTATCTTGCTGGCCTATTTTATCGCTTATATAGGCATATAATTCAACTGCCGCCCTTATAGCTCGTTCAAAAGAGCTTACGCCAGCGCTTTGAGAGCGTATGTGTGAGCTGTATGATATTGGCTGGGGATATAGGCGTATTCATCGTCGATAGATAGGCGGGGAATGGTGGCAATAAGGCTCGATCCATATTTGATGAGGGCGCACTAGGTGCGCATCAGAATGCATATCCTCTCGGGCTAGCAGCAATTGTCAAGAAAAGCGGAAATTAGGCACCAAGCGTCATGGTAATACTTCTCTCGCCTTTCAAAAGATACTGGAATCCGCTGTATGGTTAACTAAGGCCATGAGTCTTCTAAGATTTTATAATAAGAACTTGAGCGTTTCCATTCGCGTAAAAAGACAGGGAAATCTTGTGTATATTATTTCAAGGATAAACACCGATCTCAAAGCTTCGACGTTCCCTCATCTTCGGCATGACATATCCTCCACCCAACAATACATCTAGTTCAAACGAACAGTAAATAATAGTATATTCCTTCGTAACTCTTAGTGCTTAGTTCTTCCGGCACTATTCGTAGTTTTTAGCGGCTGGATTCGTTCCGTAGAAGTGAATCACTCACATAACCCCAGCATCCCGGGCCGTCAGCAGTGCAGTCAAGTAGTGGACAGCAGTCAAGCCCAATCGACGGATTGCAGCGCAGTCCCGGTCTATCCTGGCAGGTAATTACAGGTGTATTGTCGTAGTTAGAAGCCCACGGCTCATCAAAGTGGTGTATAAGACCGAGAGCTGAAACTGCAAACAGAAGCACTTCAACGAACTTCATGGTGAGATCGAAAACCGATATAAGAGGTTGTCTACCGATATTGATTGCTCAGGAAGCATGAGCTGTGACTAGGGACATTTGGTTCCTTAGTTAGGATATAGCATCTTCTTTATATGTTTATAACTAGGTGTAATTACTTATGTCATAGCTAGGTCATGCCTGAAATGAGCTCATCACCTATATGGATCTACGATTCTTTTGATAGTCCTAGACATCTGGTATGTGACATCACTTGATACCATCGGGTCGTCAATTTTGAGGAAATATATAGAAGGCCCATTGGTGTAAACTAAGATGGTGTTCCTTGGTTAACCATCCTAGCTACATTTATGTGGCAGCAGTAATACTCGAAAAAGCGTGATTGGCACATACCAGGCCAGGCCCATCCATCATTCGCTTTGAAGTTATTAAGTTTTAAAACCCAATCACCCCATACTTTACCCGCCCTTTGATGGTATTTACTACCTACTGAAAAGGCGTAGCCACTACAGGCAAACATGAACTCCCTGGATCTAGACCTGTCTGAATAACTTTCTGACACCATCTGTCACAAAGAATGGAGGCGACCACAGAGTCAAGTGCTTGCATACCCCTCATCTAGTAGCAGATTAAGTCGTGTAGTCACATGGGCTGTCTATTCTAATAGACTCGGTCGAAGGAAATTATCACTACAATTTTGGCTACCATCGAAACCATAATTTTGGGGTACATCTATGTCATGCTCTTAATGAATTGAGCGAGAGTTTTTCATTTTGGTAACAGGAGAACCAAAATGGGACTGACGGGACTAAATTTTGGTCCTACGGGGGTATTTGTAATTCTTGCTAGTCCCATGATACTTGTACGCACTAATTGAAGCGACGAGAAATAATACTACAAGGAAGATCCGGAAGATTTCGCGGCGGATGAATCATGCAATTTGGAATGGTCTGAAAATCTCGATCATACACAAAAAAGAATCAAAATCACAGCGACTTTTGTAATTTGCCTCCTCTTTGCACGTAAATTAGGAGCTATAGCACGTAAGTAATAGTAACACAGAAGGTGAAAATGCAAATAAAGTAGCACTTACTACCGAAGCTCACCACCCTGGTTGGAGATACGTTGACGTAGATTAACATCTCTGTCTGCGTAACTACCGCGGAAATCTCCCTCAAGTTTAGCACGGAGTATAGGTTCAACACCCTGTTCGTAGGCGAATCTTATAGAACCCTGTTCAGCATGTTCGGTAAAGTCATGCCCACCCCAGCCAAAGTTGCCTAATATGATATTAGCATTGATATGATTGCAATTTTGGAAGCCGTCTTACCGTGCTCATCACCAAGGCAATCATCGAGGCGTATTTCGCTATACCGAAAGGCGCTTGGGTCATTATTATACCTACATTGGCCGTATAGGTATGTCCCCCACCGTCTGCCTTGTCCATCGCTTGAAAAAATGCCAAGATCCTTTGTCTCATTCATGGCTGGGAAGATTCTTTGGGTTAACCGTGTTGCAATAAGAGCTTCAGTATTCAAGATACCGTCAAAAAATAATTCACGAACTTCAATCGAGCGCAGACTTTATAGCTAGGACAGACTAAAGTCCCTTCGAAGTGGTGATGTAATTCTGACAGATATTTATGAACGGTCCAGATTGTTCATGAGATAAAAACAGGTGAACTTTTGAAATGAATAATTATCTCTCAAGCTTGAGATCTAGACTGGCCCATTGGGGATGCTTATCTAGGTTGAGTCCGGATTATATTGGGTCGTGCGAATGCCTATCATGTTCTAGATCAACTATCCGGTTTAATTTACAGAACGATGAAAGTTATACTTAATTTAGGGTCAAGACAAGAACGTTCGTCAGTAGCATCATGCTTCGCTTCTAATTACAGCTCCCAAACATGGAATATCTCGTGAGCATGTTTGCTCGTCACAGTGTGATTAGAGATATGATGCGGCCATACGACCTGACAGAACTCAGTTCCAGCCAATATTGCTGGGGCTTCCGCGAGCGTCCGAGTAAAAAGCCGGGTTTACGCTATTTTTATGACGTAGCAGGGTGTTAAAATCCTTCTTGCACCCAACTCGTACGGCCGCGTTGCGCAATGGCAGAGCTTTGGTATATTCGAAGATACGGCGGGTCTCTCGTTACAATGAACTGGCGAGAGCAATACTGCGGAATAACACTATGGAACAACATTTGCACTGGCTGTTAAGAATTGCGCGATCGGGGAAGATTCTCAACTGAGTCTGTAATTACGCCTTAAAAAGGTAAATCATTAAGAGCCAAACGTTCCAAGTTACCAGTAACTTGGATCTAACAATCAATGATCCTGGCGAGTCTGGTGCATTTAGCGAAGTCGCTGGAGCAGTGTCGATGCATTCGTTTACGCACAAATTCAGCATCGGTTCATATTCTTCACAAGATCAATGAATCTTAGTATAACTTAGAGGTAAACCTTGGTTTTTCTCTGTCCCCGTAAGGTTATCTACTAGTCTTAGGATTAAATTAAATAAAGATTTTTAGTTGATTTGCAACTACTACTATATGACATCGTAGCAGAAAGGCAAATATGACACACTCCAACTACTCAAATCCAAGCACTCATGTATTGGTCGGGAGGCGACAAGTGTTATTATAATATGCTATATAACTAACTGTGTGCAACAGATTAGGGACGCATACGTAATATCCGAGCAAACTGCGCGTTTCTAGGCGTAGTACCAGACACGCTGGTCAACCACAGGAGTTATACTAAAATCCGCTATCGCTAAAGCTACAGTGATCTAAGATCAGCATTACGTTAAGAGCTAGCGTTTTCACTGACAGCAATATCTCCTCGGTGTGTGTGACCACTAGCACTAGGTCATATATGATCTTTAGGTGATATTCCGCACATATCTCGAGAGGACGTAGATATAGGTCGAATACGTCCATGGGGGGCTTTAAAAGTTCTGAATAACCTCACAGTTACCATATTCAGCGTTACGACTTCTAATTAGCTGCCCGTTACCACAGCCACTGTAACATCTTGCGCCTCGTAGCGTATCACCTAGAATCTCCCGCGACACCCGATCTATTTATAGCCTATCTATTTCATATGGTATTGAGGTTGTTAATAAGGCCGTAGGAGGACCAAAACTAAATACTTTCAAACGTTATTAGCGTAAGTTCTATAGCACTATAAGTTTATCCAGAAAAGGTATCCGTGTTGAATAAATGCCTAAGTAGAAATTCGAGTTTCCCCTCCTAATCTGATTTAATTTTACAAAAGATACGGTGACATACCTACAATATCACTTTTGTAAGGTCTAATCTAGAGAAAGGTACAAATACATAGAGAATTTGCGATCAGTCTCAAGTGAGAAAGGCATAACTAAACAGAGCGCATAGAAACCTAAGATAAAGATGTTCAACCTATATATTGATTAAGCTTAGCGCAAACAACTTAAATTATACCGTAGTCACTGAGGTACAAAATACACAATAGGCGTCGTTAATTACGTAGTGCCTACCGGCAGTCGATAGAATTGCTACATAGCATAAATGTCCGATGGCTAAAGTTCTAGGAGCTCAGGGTGATTGTCACGGGCCAGTGCCCGATGTTGGTCACGTGTATCACGGGACCTTGGTATGTTGACGTGGGGAACGCGCGGGATTAACTTCCCCTCCTTAAGCTTTTTGTAAACAGCATGTTGGCCTAGTTAGATTGAATCTGTCAACATGTGGATGTGCAATACCCCGCATTAAGTGTGTTGATAAGCAATACACATCGGACCAATCGGATAAACACCCCAGTGCACGACTATAAGCAATACGGTCGGACCAATCACATCAACACCACAGAGCACGACTATACAATACGATGAAAAGATATCAACTATCACATCATAACGCAAAGAACAACAAGTTTCCTAACACTCTTGTATGCCCCCATGTTATTCTGAGATTTTTATCAGTCTTTTCCTGTGACATTCTGCCATGTACCTAAAGTTATAAATACTGCCTGTTTCCCTAGTTAAATTGAACAAGTTTGACACCATTTCCACCCACGAATAGAGCTCAAGGCAATTCTGATTAAACTGTGTTGACCCTCCACTGTTCAACCTGTTCGCTGCCGACCCACCTCTATTGCACTTTTGTCTCTCTTCCATAATCGTGGTATTCGATCGACCTGTGTGCGCCTCTAAGCACACCCCAGGGTTTATGCACACGGCGTAAATCCGACAGAATCTAAGTCTTGCTTCAGCCCTTTCACATACAAAAAGCTTCCTTCTACACCCAGAAGTATCATTAGTCATTAGAAAAGCCCTAGGAAAGCGACCTAGGCACTTATTGGAAACACCCCTGAATCCCTAGCGATTCAGCGACGAATATATATCGTAACGGAATCCTCGCGTATAGATCTCTTAGCGCTCGAGACGTATTAGAAAGCCCTAGAAGATCCTAATTCCTAGGCATATTAGAACATTGGACGAAAAGCGACCGAAGCATTACCGGCACGCTACGTAACCCCTAGTAGTAATGCAGTAACAGGAATCGATAAGCCCTCCCGGGTAGGCGCGAACGCTACTACAGCAGATAGCACAGACCTAGGCTATGCAGAACGAAGAAAGGGAGCGGCGTTACTAGCAAGATACTGCTTAAGAGGAGCGGATACGTCACCTCGAGGCAATACTAGAGTAGCAGGCCTTACTAGCTGTAACGACGACTATAACGAACGAAGAGCAGGCGACACTAGCGCAATCGGCCGCCGAATCGGTACTGATTCCCCCCCGAACAGAGACGATTTACCGACTGAAGCTATACCTACTAGACCTAAAACTATTCGGTAGAAGTATAAGCGACTAGCTAACCTAGCGAATTTCGATTAAGAATAAGCTTAGCGTAGATAGCGAAGCTATTAGTTCTCCCTAGGATTAATGTCGGCCAGAAAAGCGGGTCATATTTCCATTAGGCCAAAAAGGCGTACTTAAGCACGGTCTTCAGGCTTTATTTGGAGATATAAGAGATCAGGTCGTTCAGGGGCCGATATACCCCCCACTATATGCTGACAATTAATTTATCTACGTATTCTCTAGACTGGGGAGGCTAGTATAGAAGAACACTAGAACCTTTATAAAACTCCGCCGAAATATTAGCGAAGCACAGGCCTTACTTAATTTCCTTAAGAGTATCTACAGAGACCCGAATATTAAGGTATATGTGAAGGGCTGAAGCAAGACTTAGATTCAATCTAACTAGGCCAACATGCTGTTTACAAAAAGCTTAAGGAGGGGAAGTTAATCCCGCGCGTTCCCTATGTCAACATACCAAGGTCCCGTGATACACGTGACCAACATCGGGCACTAGCCCGTGACAATACCCCCTCCTAGTCGAGCTCGCTAGGGGTGCGACGACATGGGTTTCGGTGCCGATTTGCTGGCGAATCACATCCGAAACGGGGCCGTACTACTTTTTAAAGGCATCCAAGGCGCTACAATCCTGCACTGAGTCCAATGTTTGCCACGTCTGTTCTGCCTATCCTCTCCATTTCACTAACGCTTCGTCACGATATCCTCGTCCAATCTTCCTCCGTCGTACGGCTAGGATTTGCTCCATATCGTATTCCTCTTCTCTATTAATTAGTAGTGGTGGTGGCTGCGAATCGTCTACTAGCTGAGATAGGAACGGGTCCGTTACTGCTGGGCGAACTAACTTAATATAGAATACCGGGTGTATACTAGTAGGTATTTTAAGTCGGACAGTAAACGGTGACGGAACGTCTACTACTCGGTATCGAGTATATAGCTAATCTAACTTCTTTAACGGTCGTTATGTTCGTACGTTCCGAAGGTTTAGCTAAACCTAGTTATCCTTTTTATAGATAGGCGTCGCCTATCGACGTCGGTTTGCTTGCTCTTCTTCAAGGGCCCATATAGAAGCGATAGCGGCCTAGGCCTAATCGGTAGCCTCTCGTAGGGGATTTACGAACGTTTTGCCTACCTTTCGTAGTAGGGTTAGGGCGTCTTCTAGCTACTCTGCTTCGTTAATACTAATCGGGTTAACTTAGTATCTATAGGTAAAGAGGAATAGCAAGATTCTAGTTAAAGCGGTATTACGATTATTAATTATTACAGCTACTATTGGTAGTAGATCCTTCTAGTTATCCTATACGTACGCAGTAAATATACGTAGGATTCGTTCGACCTGCTAATTAGTACGCTCTATTATACCGTCGGTCTAGGGATAAAAGGTAGTAGATAATTAGCGTTAAATCGATAGCCTTTCATATATTATTTCCTAGAAGGAGCTTACGAATTAGGGGCTACGGTCGCTTATAATCGCTAGTAGTATCTTATAATATATATAGAAGTATATAAGGAACACCTCTACTATATCCTGTACTATTATATTCTGTCGGATTTACGAGGTCGGCATAAATCCTTCTGCGTGCACAAGCAAGCGAGTGTGCACGGTTGGTCAAATCAGTATACGATTGGCGAAGAATCGTATAAGTCAGGTCAAAGGGTCGTACGATTCGGCTCAGAATCGGAAGTTAACAAATGATAGAAGAATGCTCCAACTTCATCACAATCATTAAACTTGATTCGACTAGCTATGGAAAACAGGCAGTATTTATAATCTTTATGAAATCGAGGCAATACGTCAGACTAGAATCTCATAGAAATCAGGAGAAATAGAGTGTTGAAGCTCTTTCGTTATGTGTGCAAGTTGTTGATGTCAATCGTTGAAGATCGTCGTCACGTGTACGTTCCGTCGCATCCTGTCAAGTTCGATAGCTCTTGGGGGCTTATGCACCTACTTATGTTGACAGGTATTTATTAGAGTATTAATTGACACGGTGAGCGGGGGCCGGAAATGGCTCCCGTCCCACCGCCTGCCCGAATTCGCAGTCCCCCTGCCGCTTCGGGAATAGCACCCGCAATCTAGACCCTGTTTGGGTTTAGCGCCGCTCTGGCCGCTTTTACCGCCCTGCCCGTTGCCCGTCCATCTATAAAAGACCCATCGCCCTCTCCTCCTCTTCGTCGACGCACTTTCTCTTCTCTTTCCCCCTTCTTCCCCCCCCCCTTCAACCCCTTTCTTTCTCGGCCCCACCGTCGCCTGCACGTTGGCTTTCAGCCCGATGCACTGCCCCTTTCATTTCGCCGGAGATGCCGCGATCCGGTCGCCCGGGAATCGAAACACGGAGATGATCCATTCCTCCACCGTATTGTGTCCTTGACACCATGTGATTGCGTGTCAATCTACCTTTGATCTCTTCTCAAACAAGTCACCGTGGGTTTCGCTGCAAAGCTATGTCGGTTGCCTTCTGCGGCCGAGACCTTGCCCGCTGAAGGTCTCTGTTTTCCTTCTGACTTCGCAACAGGCGAAGTCTCCCCGGCTGCCTCCCTCGATGCTCCGTGCTCCGCTTCATCCGCCTCATCTGACGCCCCGTCGGAGGTAAAACCATCGGAGGTTACATTGTGCAGCCCTTGGCGTCGCAGATCTACTCTCGGCGGCTTTCTCCCAAACGCCTTAACCTCGCAGTTGTCGTCATCGTCGGCCTCTCCAGTCCATCCTCACCCAATCGGTGAATCTCGACAGCATGCAACGGTGATGCGAACCAATGGCGAAAATACCGCAAGCTCGCCTGACCCAGGTCAATTCCGCATCATGAGGTGAATTCCTGGTCGGGCTTGTTGGAATTCTAGCTTCGTGGATGCGAAAATAGCATGGTCTGGCAACTTTGGATGCAGCGGCATGGGTTGCTGGAGCTGGTCGGTGTCGTCTGCGCCGTGAAGTAGGCGGATTTCGCCTCGCAGTCTATAAAAGAGACTACAATTCCACCCACATAACAAAGCTGTAACCCAACCCTCCCAAATTCTCCATGTCCCCCTTCCCCTTCCAACTGTGCCCTATCCACTGCCCCCTGCCCAAACTCCCGATCCTGGTTTCTCTATTTCTACGAGTGGCCCCAATCCCTTTATGACGTGAACTTGCTCTCCTGCCTTTTTTTTCGCACAATATGTCAAGCGACAGTTTTCGCCTGGAATCCTTCCGCCCGTGGAACCCTTTTCAGGACAAGGCGCAGCCTCTGCGGGATTCTGTCGATATTTGTCGATATCCAAGTCCTGTCTCGATCACCGCCACCTCGCTTCCCTCCAATTCTACCAATTCGGCTTCCAAGAACCCAAATGTTCATTCTCATAAATCTGAGCGACACCCTCTTCCTCCCCGACCGCCGGTGGAGGTTTGCTTGAACGACAGCCTACCACAGGAGTCAAACACTCAGCATCAGCACCATCCCGCTGTGGAGGATCAGATATCATGCATTAACCCCGGAGTTGAGGCGTTCGACTTCAATGATATTCTGCATCTGCAGGATTTACCAAGCTCTGGAGACGAGGACCATCCAATAAATTGTGATAATCTGGGCCCGGAGTCTCAGTGCCCACTCAACTTTGAATCGGGTGATCTGGGGCTCGCTTGCACTACCAGTCAGCAGTCTCAAGTTGGCAAGGCTGGAAGTTCTGGTCTGGCCAGCGAGTGTTGCGACCCAACAATTGATCCGGCAATCCTGGATGATTATCATTTTCAAGATATGGAGCCGACCCCAGCAAGAAAAGAGACCTCTGACGTTGTGGCCCCTTCTCGTTCGTTGGGTAAATCTGTTCGTGGCCGCGGCATGCGACCGAATTCGCAACGGGCGATGAAACCCGGGCGGCAGCAGTCCAAAATCAGCAAGGTTGCTGTCGTCGTGGACAATCGCCACATGAATAGGACTGGCCGGAGTGCTCGAGCAAGCGGCCCCGTTAAAATGTCGTTTTCTATTCTTCGGGATCAATTCTCTTCCCTACCGGTCGAAGAGCGACTACAGTTTTTGTCTTGGTTGTTTGAGGGTGCTTTATCACACTGCGTTTCTACGCGTGCCAACCCAGATACCGCCTCTGTATCCGGATGCATCTCGAGCCAAGCTGTGAACCTGACAGATGAGTATGACCACTCGGGCTCAAGCACCGAATTAGTTGATGCGCAACCTACGAGAAAAGGCTTACCGTGGTCTATGGAAGAAAACTGTTTATTGGTGAGCCTCCGGGAAGAGCAGAATCTTGCTTGGTCGGAGGTGACGAGACTGTTCGCGAAGAAATTCCCCGGAAGAAGCAAAGGGTCTCTACAGGTGTACTGGAGCACGACGCTCAAGAAACAGCGGCTCTCTTTGGCAGACGCAGCGTAAAAAGAAATTCTATCTTATCCATTAGATTATGTCCTCCTCCCTTGAGCTTGAAACTCAAGTGTCGGGACATATCCTCATGATGAGGATTGCTCAAAAACTTTCTTTGCGGTAGAAGAGGCATAATCACCGAGGGAAAAGGGTTGAGCGGCATATCACGTAGAGTGGTCCTTGTCGTCTTATCTAATGAAAAGAAATCTCTCTTCCATCGTCACTATGTAACAACTTCGTTCTTCTGTTGGCTCTCTCACATAAGTCCATGGCTGTCTCGTTCATATTGGTTCGCAATGCAATCAGACCAATTGACGAACCACAAAATGGAGTGGAAGCGGTCGAATCAAGTCAAATATTTGACTAAATGTCCCAAATTAAACTAACTCTCAAATACCATAGAAGCCTTATTTATTCCGTGTATGGGGTGTGCATGGGGTGTGCATGGGGTGTGCATGGGGTGTGCATGGGGTGTGCATGGGGTGTGCATGGGGTGTGCATGGGGTGTGCTTGGGATGTGCATGGGGTGTGCATGGGGTGTGCATGGGGTGTGCTTGGGGTGTGCTTGGGGTGTGCATGGGGTGTGCTTGGGGTGTGCTTGGGGTGTGCTCATGGCGTCACAACCTGAACTTTGTTCATGTTTGCTATCTTATGATGAATGCGACTCATCTAAGGCAAGTCGGCCTAGGCTTCGAAAAGTTATCGTCATGTGAATGCGAATACCGACTACAAATTAAGGCTGACGCGGCTACGCATCTAGTGCATCTTGCGCGTGTAAGTGATCTCGAAAGTCCTCAATAGCTTCCTGACGTTTGGGAGAGCCAAATTTATGATTCAGTATCTTCCACTCATTTTGTGTGGCTCATGTTAATCTTATCAGATCTAGAACACATCCTAGAACTCGATCTTGCTATATGATCTGTGCCTTGGTTTGCTGCTATACAACGATCATTATTAGCTCGCTGCTAGTTCATCTACACGAAGCTATATTTGGGCCTACGTCCCAGTAGTATTATTTCAGTGATTCTAGGAAACAAATTAACAGCGGACAATCTAATCAACAACAGAGTAGATGCTTTCCTCTTTACATGGTAAATGGTGATCGGTCAATCAGATGGGAAGCCTCCTGAAACTTGGGAAAGAGAGATTTTCTAAAGAGTTTTGGTATATTTCACTAAAATAGCTCTGTGTTCTCTGTTCGTAAATTCGGATAGCAAATTGATGCGCCACAACCTCTGGAATGGGAATATCTACATGCTTCCAAATAGAATAAGTTTCTACAATCAGAAAATTGTCATCTTGAAGCCTTGTTCAAATCATGTTTCAAGTTTTGAGAATATTGCAGCCAGTCACTCCCAAATCAGTAGCCAGACTGTGAAGTCATTAAAATGCAGATGAGTAGCATGGCTGTGCCGGCGTCCCTCCAATTTCGAAGAAAATCAAGAGAGAAAGGAAAACACCGTTCATGGCCGAACAGAATATGAATCGATCTGGTGATATGCGGTCTTTGTTGTCAGAGTAACAAGAAGGACGAGTTCTTCTGGACAAGGCGTGTTTTCAAAGGCAGGTTTCTGAGCCGTTAGCTTCAATAATAACAAAACAAGTTTCAAGTGACCAACCTGTAGCAGTGAATCGATAGTCATCGTCCGTAGATCATCTGGTAGTGTTTTCATATCGGCGTTCCATTCATAGGATCTGTTCTTTGCCATCAGGCGCGTGACGATATCGGCCAAGGCATATGCTTTCCATGTGGCAGGATTCATTTCCGAGGTCGTAATTTGACAGCTTTTCTCCACCCCCCTACAGATTGTTATTATTTTGATACGCCAGATGTATCATTTGAAACATACCAATCTTGACGTTGCCAGATTGCGTCACAAAAACCGTGTCGGGAGTTAGGCAGGCAAGGGCTCTGCCATGTTGTAGTAGATGATGAATACCATCAATGATCTGTAACTTGTTAGGCGAGAAGATAGACCAGCTTGTACCATTTATGACGTACCGGTCTGACAATTGCAATAATTTCACTTGCGGTGATCATGCATTTGCTGGCCATAATCTGGCTGATCGAGACCTCCACAGGTTCCCAAACAAAGAAAACCGAATTAGTGTGGTGATAGGATTCTTGCAGGATTAAGAAGCTACGATGGTGTAGCTTTCTCAAGAGATTGAGAGTAGTGGCAAGCGAGGACGCTTCTTCATCAAGCTGCTCAATATGAACAAGTCGATGCTTTAGCGCCCTGCTTCGACTCAAAAACATCGACCGATTTTGCGATATCTTAGCGATTGGCTCAAAGATTTCCCATGGATCCGTTTTATACTCCTTGATTAAAGTATTGGGCTGATCTCTCTTGCTGCCTGCAGAAACATAACGATCAAGAACTGGGTTGTCTTGGGGACCATTTGGTGGGATCTCCCGTGTAGGAGAGCTATTACCATCGTTGCAAAGAAATTCTGATTCGTCCGGAAATATTGTCCGTCGGCGTTTGTATATTCTTTCATCGCCTTGTCTCATAGTGAAGTGCTTGATGAGAATGAAGTAAGAACAATTCACAAACCATTTATATATCCGCCTCTTGCTCAAGAAGCTGATATCAAGATTTGATCGATCGTCTCTTCTATTCTGGGTTGAAAGGTGGGGATCTTTTCAATTTCTACGACGTTGGTACTATTAAGTACTCAATGATATGAGGTTCTCCAAGTTTTTGATGAAGGAAAGGTGTATAAATTGTTGATCACTGAAACCCTCGTTTACGTTGAAGTTTTTCAGTGCTAATGGATTAAAGTTTGACAAAAGTGGCTGAGTTGATGGTGTCTACGATGTTTCTCCCTAGAATTCATCCAGTAGGTAATCGAGACTGCTCAAAAATTGCTCTACCCATCTGCTTTCCTATTACATCTTCTTTGAGCTTCATGCATAAAAGACACTTATTTATCATTGATTTGTTGTTATTGGCTATTCAATAATCGCAAGCTATATCATGGTCGGATACGTTCTTTACGTGAAAGAGGTAAGATTGGAATTTATGAGGATCATAGCTCAGCAGAGGAGACACAATAACCGTAATTCTTAGGGTTTCATGTGTCCACTTCTGTGAGGTTCCAAATATTGATGTTTCTGATCTATACGCCCGTAAGCCGCTATATGTTTATTGTAAAAAACTTAGATTGATGGAGACTAGCTTCTAAGCAAATAGTGGCTGGTTGATCCCTCTGTATCCTGATAGCCATTGCTCATATGAGCCGAGAAACGTCGCTTGCCAACCTTCTTAAAACACCAAATAAAATCCATCATCATGTTTTAATAAAACAGAAGATTCTTGAAGCAGTAATGAAGATAAAAAGAAAAAAATTACAAGTAGAGTAAGACCGATGGCAGGCGACTCTGCATTTCCGGATCCTTGAAGTGGGATAGAGGTCACGGTTTGGATAGAATGAGAGCTAAACGGAGGCGTTGTCAATGTCTCCGAGGGAAGCGGCAAAGTGAATGTAGGCAATATCAGCGTGAGTGGAATTCCCTGACTTTCAAAACTTAAGATAGGGCTTGACGTAAGATTCTGATGCCCAACAACTTGATCTGTGGTAGTCTGGCCGCCTGCGATAGTGTCCCTGGCAACAATGTCACTTTAATAACCTGAGAAAAGCTGGAAGTGGAGCAAACGACATACAAACCCATAGTAATTGAAAGCATTATTCTCGTGAAGGGATCAGTCAGATGAATCGGATGAATGCCCGCCGGGAATTCCCTTTCTCAAAGATACAGTTTTCGGCTACGGTCTTTATCAATGGCAAAGCCTCCTTGGATGAAAGCTAATATCAAATTATGTTTACCTGCAGGTGTTCTAGGTCCCATACTCCTGATCTATTTCCAACGTAATGAATGATAGTTGAGGCCAATCCCTAACCAGCACCCATCAGAAAATTCAGGTTTTAGGAGCCAAAGTCTTGTGGGTTGCGTATTTTGTTCATCAACAAAAGCAATCAATTTTTGGAATTCTCGTCCTTTCTGGTGTATTCGGCGGATAGCGCCGGAGCGAAGCCTACATCCTGTATCCGCGGGCTCAAATTTCCTGCGGCTACATCGCACTTCACCACTTCACCACTTCACCACTTCACCACTTCACCACTTCACCACTTCACCACTTCACCACTTCACCACTTCACCACTTCACCACTTCACCACTTCACCACTTCACCACTTCACCACTTCACCACTTCACCACTTCACCACTTCACCACTTCACCACTTCACCACTTCACCACTTCACCACTTCACCACTTCACCACTTCACCACTTCACCACTTCACCACTTCACCACTTCACCACTTCACCACTTCACCACTTCACCACTTCACCACTTCACCATTTCACCATTTCATCACTCACAACTTCACGACTTTGTGCTCTGATGTTTGCTCGAAATACTCATTGCGGCGTAAATCCACCCTCGCTACCATCTCGATATTCCTACGTTTATCATGCCCATTCCTTGATTTGGGTAAAGCGCGCTTTGCGGCGCAGATTTCCTCCCAGAAAACTTACGTATCACTTAACATCGGATTCATCAATCAGAGTAGATCTTCTAAGCACTTGTAACATATACGTATTAGGTCAATCTAGCTAAACTATCTATTGTGCAAAAAAGCGACAGAATCAAAACTAAAAGCAAAAGTTTGCTCAAAAAAAGTAATCGACTTATTAGATCTCCAGCACAGCGCGTAGGCTCTTTTTTCAATGCACAGGGATTTGCGGGGCTCCCGTCACAGGGGCACGCTCGGCCGGAGACGCTTTTCTAGTTCTTGCAACTGTCTCACAGTAGACATAATATAAACCCTTCGCTATAGCCCTTTTTGTCATTCTATCGTTCTCATCTAGTTCCTGCCAATTCTCTTCCCGTGCCATTTCTGTCACAAACTCTTCCTATATCTGTACAAAACGACTTTCCTAAGACTCGGCGCCGGGTTCGTTTATTACTTTTTGGATATAGGAACTCGGAGCAGCAGTAGTCTCT